AGTGAGACTAGGAACAATGAGAGGTGGGGGAGGTTTTTGGTGCTTCTAGGTTGGCTCACTCTACCAAGGCTTGGTGAAGGTCACTCAATGGTACCCTAAACTCACTCTAGGTTGAGAGAAGATGGTGAGGCCATGAAACCATAAATGACTAAGGAAGGCTTTGATGGCTAAAAGCTCACTCAAATGCATATAATCCAAAGTGTGAACAAGGTGGGAGACCTAAGGTATTTATAGAAGGAAGGAAAAGTAATTTATGGTTGCATGAGGTGCCTAGCCGAGAAATGCAAGCCAAATACACTCTAAATGCACCCTAAATGTGATGTGGATTTCCTTCCCTCATAAAATACTAAAATACCCTTTGACCTAAACATAGAAAAAGGTGGACTTTGACCTCACAAGTCAGGGTTTAAGTCCAAAAATAAATCCTATTCTAAATGCCCCATAATACAAAGACTGAATGAAAAATACAAAAGAAATCATACCATCTAGGTTACTCAAAATACAGGGGTAAAATAGGAAATGAAAATAATAAACCCTACACTACTAATGACAAGCTTAGGAGAGGATCAAAACTTTACACACATGATGAGCCTAGCTCTAGGCATGGTGTATCATCTATCCTCCTATACTCTCCTAGCCATGGACCTAGTAATAGGTCTCACATAAAACTCCAAGGATGGTCCTCCATCATCCCTTCCTTCTTGGGAAAAATCTGTTCTTAGATCAACATACTCATCAACGTCTTCAGCTCCTACAAAAGGTGTGAGATCACAAACATTAAAAGAAGAGCTAACTCCATAATCTAAGGGAAGATCTAATCTATACGCATTGTCATTGATCTTTTGGAGGACTTGGGTAAATTTCAAGTGATACACATGCCTTGTTCACATGTAATAACTACATGTGCACATGTTCACTTGAATCATATGTCATTCCTTTCTCCAATTACAAATTATAGAATGTTATTAATGTGTATAATACTTTGTTCGGATTATTGCCTGACAAAAATGAGTGGCCAGAATATAACGAACATAAATGGTGTCATGATCCAAAAATGCGAAGAAATCCCAAAGGTCATCCTAAATCTAATTGCACACATATTAAGATGAACCTTAAAGAAAAAAATTAACCCAAAAAATGTGATTATTGTAGAACTATTGGACACTCAAGAAAAAAATGTCCACAATTTCAATAATTATTATTTGTTTATATATATATATATATATATAT